CACAATAACATATGGTTCTGTTACTACGTAAAATTATATCAGGGTCACAATAACATATGGTTCTGTTACTACGTAAAATTATATCAGGGTCACAATAACATATGGTTCTGTTACTACGTAAAATTATATCAGGGTCACAATAACCTATGGTTCTGTTACTACGTAAAAAGAATCAAAGAAATCTTTTGAAAAATGAGCGAATGCATAGCTAGACAATTTTTGAATATTACAATGTACTACGTTTAGTTACCCGTGCTTCCGATGTCCCCGGTGTTGTTTGTACTTTTCGAGCCATTATAAAGTGTGTAGACTTCAAAGGTGTAGGTTGTCCCCGGTGTTAGTTCATTTACAGGCAAGTTGTGGGAAACACTGGTGTCGTCATCTGCCGTAATGTTTTGAAAGGACTGGTTGAGGTTGTTGTACTGGGCTAGGAATCCGTCATATCCGCTGCCATTCAGGGTAACGGTCAACGTCACACACACGTTTGTCTGGCTTGAAATTTCTACGTTATCAGGGGCAGAAGGCCCTGAAATAAAACAGACACCACGCGTTGAGATAGTGACACACGTGTCGAGACAGGAAGTGCTACGATCATTATTCAGTATCGATATACGTATGATATCACAATAAATAATCACTTTAATTAAATTGAATTTATCGAAATAATTTAAAAGCATTCTTTTGAATAAATTTTAAAAACAGAATTGGATTATGATGTTAGTCTCAATACGCCTGTATGTGGTATTGGTTGCAAAATGTCTAATATCACAGGAAAATAATTATAGGACGTATAAAGACAAGATTTCAATTACATATATTGGCAAGCCTTCGACACATGGAAGATGGGGAAACATTGCAACAAGTAAATCTGTTGCATTCAATCAATCACAACAAGAGGCCCAGAGGGCCTGTATCGCTCACCTGAATATTTAAGCAGTCATAGCATTAAATATGATATTGCACTACAAATATTTCCCTCGCAAACTTTGTCGGCTCCATCTGTTGAAGCTACCAGCCAAATGTTATTATAAGATTCTTTACTTTTTGGTTTTTCTTCAGAAGTTGTTTTTTTCCTGTGACCTTATAAGTAGGTCAATGTCATGTTCCTTCTCAAACTTAGTTAGCTCTATCCCAAGAAGCTACCAGCCGATTCTTTTAAATCCATTCCTTTTGGTTCTTCAGAACAAATCCTTTGAAATGTTGTTGACCTCTGTGACCTTGAAAGTAGGTTGAGGTTGTTTTCATTTGCAAACTTTGGTGAGCTCTTCCCCAGGAAGTCCCCAGCCAAATATTATATTTTCATGCCTTTCGATTATTTAAAAGAGGTCATTTGATGTTTTTGACATATTTGACACCTGTGACCTTGAAAGTAGGTCAAGGTCATTTTCATTCTCAAACTTTGTCGGGCTCTATCTCTGGAAGCCAACATTAAATATGAAGGTTCTATACCTTTTAGTTCTTCAAAAGAAGTCGTTTAAAGAGTTTGACATATTTGACCGCTGTGACCTTAAAAGTAAGTCAAGGTCATTTTCATTTTTAAAATTTTGTCGGGCTCTATCTCAGGAAGCCACAAGTCAAATATGAAGATTCTATACCTTTTAGTTCTTCAGAAGAAGTCACTTGAAACGTTTAACATATTTGACCGCTGTGACCTTGAAAGTAGATCCAGGTCATTTTCATTCTCAAACTTTGTTGGGATTTATCCCTGGAAGCCACCATCCAATTTGAAGATTCTATACCTTTTAGTTCTTCAGAAGAAGTCATTTGAAGCGTTTAACATATTTGATCGCTGTGACCTTGAAAGTAGATCAAGGTCATTTTCATTCTCAAACTTTATTGGGATTTATCCCTGGAAGCCACCATCCAATTTGAAGATTCTATACCTTTTAGTTCTTCAGAAGAAGTCATTTGAAGCGTTTAACATATTTGATCGCTGTGACCTTGAAAGTAGATCAAGGTCATTTTCATTCTCAAACTTTGTTGGGATTTATCCCAGGAATCCACCATCCAATTTGAAGATTCTATACCTTTCAGTTCTTCAGAAGAAGTCGTTCAAAGTGTTTGACACATTTGACCCCTGTGACCTTGTAAGTAGGTCTAGGTCATTTTCGTTCTTAAATTTTGTTTGGCTCCTACCAACGAAGCTTTCAGTCAAACATCATGGCCCTATGCTTGTTCGTTCTTCAGAAGAAGTTGTTCAAAGAAAAGGTTGACGGACGACGATGGACGATGGACGGACGACGGACGCCGCACCATGACATAAGCTCACTTGCCCTTGCCCTTCGGGCAGGTGAGCTAAAAATGACTTAAATTAGCAAAACGAATTTAAAGGAAATACATCCAGACGGGTAAAAAGCAACACTACTGATAGTATTTCTTCACGTTGATACAATTCTAAGTTTATAGTCGCTACAAGGTCATGAGTTGTATAGAAAAAAGACTAATACAATCTCTCACCCCCTTGGGGCTGAAATAGGAGAATCTCAACCCGAGGGGGAAGATTCTTAAGTTAAAGCCGAGTGTTTGGCAACTTAAGAATCTTTCCCCGAGGGTTGAGATTCCCCAATCTCACTCACAAGTGGGTAAATGATTCTTTTTCTCTTACCCTGTTCTCCCATTGTGTATCATGTATTCTCCCACACCTGACAGATTTATCTCCCGTTTTGCCGGTGCTAGATTTATCTGTCTCCGCCCTAAGGTAGAGACGGGGGGATTCCCCTATTCATAACAATGGCATGACGTCACTTCAACAATACAATGACGTCACGTCAACAATCCATCAACAAATTGCCTGTATGTGTTTTGGGTCCATGTTTACCTTTATTTCACATTAAAATACTGTTAGATATGGGAGAAAAATAATCAATCGCTACTGGTTGTGTAAGATAGAGAAATCTCAACCCTCGGACTAAGATTTCTCTATCTTACACAACCAGTAGCGATAGATTCTATTAATCTCACACTGGTAGAAGTGCGCATACACATGTGCAGGGTAAGAGAAAACCCTCTTCCTTTATATTCGAAGCATCAACATTTCAATGAAATGTTTATAACATTGATGTTGTAGGCGGGGGTTTTATATAAATATTTTACAGTATATAAGCAAGAAGCATCATATCAATAATCTGACTATAGATGAGGGGCATTATATCAAGGTTTTACTGTACAAATACTAATGACTTACCATTACCATAGTGTGCTTCACATTAAAAATTAAATGTAACCACATTTCCCGTGCTAAAAGCGCCAAAACATCAACGTAACAAACAAAGTATCAACACAATAAGACAAATTCAATATATATAACAGACAAAAAGGGACAATAGGACAACTCCATAACATGTGTTTCTGTCCATTTGTATGTTTCCTTTCTAATCCAGGAAAGAATGAAAGTACATACTAATGTATATCATGTAGTAAGCATGTATCTATATATATTTTTTTCCAGATGAACATCAATTCAAAACGGCTACCGGAAATTTCTTCATTGCAGATTGAAAAGAAATCTTGTGACGCCAATAATTGCACAGCAAAATGTATCTATAAAGAGTAAAGACAGTTCTTAAAGGCGATATAGAATATTAAATGAAAAATTCAAACACTGTAGAGTACTCTTTGGTAATCGCGACATTAAACATCCTTTGGCAATGCAGCGAACAATAAAGACATACTGTAGATGCACGTGAAGGTATGGAGATAATAAAGGAAGATGTGTATGTTACCGTCATATTGAATTTCAAAATTCGAAAGAAAAACAAATTGGAATATGTTTAAACCTCTAAATTGCAAATGCCGATTCTTGAAATTCTTGGTTCGCATTGGAACCCGGATAATAATCAATATTTATATCACCATTCAAAATTCCATGACTAATCTTTGTTGCCTCTACCTGTCTGTATCATCTAAATCGGCACACATCCAGCTTGTGAATAGATGCCAATAACACCAGAAATATTCTACATCATGATTCCCTCGAAGCTAGTATACATTCGGACTCAACATACAATAGTATATGTACTCAAAGCATAACTCATACTTTTTCTAAACCCATCTAACTTTAGATAAAACAGAAGGAATTGTGTGACCTTCCCTCAATTTGTTCTTGGTCTATGTATCTAAAATAGCATTCGAGAAGTAAAGTTATTAGAGCTAAGATACCAAATAATAGAAATATTCCTATCATCAACTCACCACCAAAATCAAATCTCGACATAATAATCTCGCTATATCTCCGCAAATCTCAAAACACAGTAGGCGTATCCCCCAAAATATATATCTATTGTATCCAGAAGACAAACTTGGAAATCAAACTAGAATAATGTCAGTATGACATCTCACCGCTTTATAAAACTCAGGGCAGGTAATATATTTTATAGACTTTATCATTCGGGAGTCAACATGTCGTAACTGGATTACTAACATAACATTTTATTATTCCCATCGGCCATATTGTCTTCAAAATTAATGTTCAGCCTCATGAATGATTAAAAGTTTAGGCATTCTTTGTTTTCACTGTTGTGCATCTTCTCCATCGTCGGCCAAAAGAGATAGGTCTGCTTTCTGCTACCCTACCGACCCTAAAATATTTTTGGCATTCTAGATTTGTTTTTTTTAAATCATACCAACCCTATTTATTCCAGATTTCGGCCCTGTCCTGTGATTTAGAATATACCAAAAACGACGAGGCGGCGACCTCGCTGTGTGCAATCAGCCGTTGCAAAAAGGGTTTTAAATTTTACTCTGATTAATACCGTCGAAAAATTCTGTCATTAATCTTTTCTTTAGTATCAAAAAAGGCTCACATCAATAATTACAAAATATTTTCAACTGTCTTTGTGTCTTCGCGTAAGGAAGTCAGTGTACATAACACGATATTTAGCCATAATAAAAGACGAATATCATACCTTTCCATGGCTGAATGTATAAAGATGTCTATATGCGATATCGGATTTACACGAAATCACTGAAATAATATGAACCCAATAAAACATGAATTAGAATATTTTACTGACCCTTTAAGTTTTTTTTGGCCACGAAGTAGGAAACAGACGTATGTTTTTGTGTGCCTTATTTCACAAATAATTACATAAAAGCTGGTCTACAAATAAACATATGTATCCAATATCTTCTGACAAAAATCCGCAACCTGCAAGAATGTTTTTTTTCCACTTAGACTATAACTAAAGTTATAAGAGTTGTCGCCCTTTCAACAACTTGGATTATAGATTGTACGACACAAAATGTAAATTCTTGTCCACCATCTTCGTAAATTGTTTCAGCGCCAAAAATAGACACAAAAGACATAAACATTGGTGCGGGAGGTGTTTGTGAAAAGGAAGCACGTCTTTGTTCACGTCCGCCTTGCTTGCCCAAGTATCAGTACTGGTTGTCGTCATGTCGACCTAAGCACGGCAGATAAATTGCGTCGCCATTTGCATCTTTATGTATGTGGTGATACGTCTACCCCTTCCAATGTTTTTACATGCATGTCAAAATTTTACTTACCAAAGAACTGAAATAAACTGAAAACTTAACACGTTGGGAATAAATCCGCATCGTGAAAACTCTTTAATCTCGGGCGCTCAAAGAACTCGAATCAAACATAATTCCGACCTCAACGGTTTGTGTAGAACACCAAAGCTGACTCCCGAGAGTCGGACTGTGTACAAGACACTGCGGAGGCTTACAACTTATTATTAGTGTGTTTTTGTATTTTGGGAAAGAACAACAGGGGACTTGATATAAGTAAGTGAGTGGCATAGCTTCTAACTTTCTCTTTTCGATAACTTAACTATAGAAATGAAAAGCATGCGCGAGCAACACACCACACGACTTCCGTCTTCACCCACAAATAAAATCAATAGGCGGCCCGGCTCCTGCCGAGAGCGGTTTTAAAACAAACATATGTAATCGATGCAAAAGACTTAATATGATACTGTTTAATATAGAATTTTCGAATCAGCTTCGGCATGCAAAATTAACGATAGAAATCCACTGCGTTATTTAAGCAGGATAACTATCCAGAGTACACTACAAAGTCATGTATTTATAAGGACTCACACAACTAAATCAGCCAATCAGCAAGTGTGTCATGCGATGGTAGTCCCTACCTTAAAGTTTTCCGGTTTAATACAGTGCCTCTGAGTAATTTAAATAAGTAATTGATGACATATTTTACATTGAATGTAATCTACAGATATTGAACTTTAGAAAAATGCATAGTTTTAGGAGATTTTAAAATGTGATGGCAGATTGATGTGGGGTCAAAAACAGGAGGTGTTCCCGTCCCACTTCATCGGTTTGGCTTGTTAACGTCCGGTTGTCAAAAGCAGACTCATGTAGCGCTCCTATATGCCACCAAACTCACCAAAAAAACCCTTTTGAATCCTTTGTCAGGTATGTATCTGTGAATCTAGACAGTTGTCACTAGTGTTGAACTTCAAATATTAACACTTTTAGCTCATAACGTTAATTATTTAGTTGTGTGAGCCCTTATAATTGGTAAAACTGATTTATATACAGAAATTATTAAGTGACGAATGAAATTATTATATTCTACAATAATTTTTAAACTGAAAATAATAAACACGAGGAAATGTTATAGAAATGTTGCTTTTTCTTATTTCGTCGATTCATATTTTATCTTTATTTGATGCTGAATAGGATGTGATATTAACAATGGAAAAGTGATATTGAAGGAGAAAGGGAGGTCAATAGGTTTACTGACATGTTTTATTCCATATTACAAACCGTACAGATTTGCTAAGAAGAGAAATGTTAAAATGTAAACAATCAAGTAAATACCTTAAACTTATTTATATATTTATCAAACAATTGTTCATTAACGGTTAAAGTTTACTATTTACTGGAAATAAGGAAACTGCTAGGAAACCTTGTTTGTCGATGCAGAAAGCCAAACTAATTGAACGTGTTACTGCACCCTATAACCATGTTGTTAATTAAGGACTCATCAGTAGTTCTGCAGGTAAAACAGATGTCTAAAGTGTTCAGAAATGTACAAACGTAGTGTACAGCGCGTGAAAGTTATATTTAGGGATCAACGTTCACCGGAAAATCGGTCTGCATGAGAATAAAGGATCCAGTCAGTGAGATTTGCTGCAATGAATTAACCTCATGTTGATACAAATACTTGAGCGTGTGTTGCACTTTAAATGTAGATATGCGATGATATTGTGTAACAACAATCATCTTTTCTTTAAATCCATTCTTATTAACATCCTACATATCACAACTACAATAAACATAAGTGTATCCAAATATGTTCTGTGTTGTCTTTAAAATTCGACAAAATTCCAAAAGTAACGTTGATGAACCCAATTTGGACTACAAGATTATGATTTTGCCGTAATGTTTGTCTTTGTACAGGGCTATAATAACAATTAATATTAAAAACTTTAATTTATCTAAGCGCAAATCATGTTTATGTTTATTGGTGGGTTGGTACCTCAACCTAGCTGACCATATGACTGTCAGAGTTATCTCTCCTATAACTTTCTCTTCCTATCTCAGAAACTGCTAGAAATGTGTTGTATATTTTCAGTTGCCAACATTTGCTGTAACGGATTCATTGTCGTCTCACTGGGAAGAAGCCCTATACGTGTACAGAAGTGTAGTAAGATGGGTGCTTTGTCATAGTCTTCAGTATTTTCAAGATGTGGTTGGCGGTCTTTTGAGGCAACACCAGTACCGCTTTAGTGCAAGTTCTTACCATATTGACCAGTTATCATTCAATGAACAGTTTCACTTGAACTAAGTTTGTGAAGTTACAAATTACATTTGCAAATTTAATACAAAGCATATTTAATTTGAAGTGTACAGCTGTTCCAAGTGATCATTTGAATTTCAAATATGTCCAATGGGACCAATAGGAAAAATAGGAAAAATGAGGTGTACATAAGTTCCCAGTGTTTACTTAACTTGTCCTTCATATTTCAATTGTCCCGAGTTTTGCAGTATGGCATAAGTTTGATGAAGTTGATCTGTAGTTGTCTCAGTTTGGTTTACCCTATGACTCTAATTTAGATTCGGTAACCACATCTGTATGAAGCCCTGGCAATATAATCCCAAAACTTAAAAACAAAATTATCAAAGCAGCTAATTTGGTGCTTGCGTTGTTTTTGTCTTTGCTAATACGATATTTAATTTGTCAAACGAAAATTAATAGATTTGGAAAATAAAAATTGATTTAACGCATCAGTCTGAAGTTAAATAACATAAATTTGTTTTTGATGTAAGTGAAATCAATAAAGAAACAGCAGAACTGCCGTATTAAATTTTATTGGCTAGGTCCGTTATTTGTATTTCCTTAATGCTAGAAACTAATACTTGAAGAAGTTACTAAAAAGATGGCTCAATATTCGACGTGCAAAAGAATTTTTTATTACTTATGACAACTTTAAAATAAACAAACTGGTTCACTTGTGGTATTTGTAAACAAACGTTATCAAACGCATCGTAACCATTGATAACAACATAATATCCCTGAGTTTCAGGTCTTCTTATTTGGCAAAATTATATTAATAGGTTCCTGGAAGCGTTTACACTGAATATTGTTTTATTACAATAAAAGATGATGTGAAAACTTAAGTCACATGGTTAAAGAGTAGAAATAAACCACGAGCTACATAAGCTTACTGTAATCAGCAACAGTTTCTGTTTGAATGGAAAAATAGCCCAACTACTATCACACACATCACATTTAATAGCAAAGTCTGGCCTAAAGGTCTACTCTACTCAGCTCTGATTAAGCTGTCTCTTACCCTCTGTTGTTTCGTTCGCGGCTTGGTTAACTGTTGAGCGTTTTACTTTGTCACCTTTCAATTAAATGGCAATTGTAAGGGAATTTCATTACTGGCTTATTCATGTCTTTTTTTCATGAGTGAAATAATATCAGCCTTGTACCAAATTGAATGAAATATGATAATACTAAAAATATCTACTTATAAAGCAACGATCTCATAAATAAGACAACAATTACAAGATAAATATGTGTATTGCGAAGTCCTTAAAGGGGAATTAGTTGTTTTAATATATACAAAAATGCCTAACATATCCCTTCAAGAAATCTACTAATGTTATCAAATCACTAACAAATTCCTCGTCACTTACTTGTTGAATCCTGAGTTCTATAGAAATGTTCACTCTCCCATCCATTGGCCTGAGTAAAGACGGTGAAGGTGAAAGTCGTTCCTGGAGTAAGACCACTGACCAGTAGAGGACCAGTCGATGTGTGGTGTGGAAATGTGTCGGAGCGATTGATACCACCACCGACCGTCTGGACACGGTACCCGTCATAACCCCCTGGACCGGGGGCCACAGTCAGGGTCACACTGGTCGTCGTCCTATCAGTTACCGTGACGTCACACGGACTGCTGGGAACTGGTAATTAAAAAAATACATCAATTACCGTATGGTAATCAAACGCCGTACATTTTATAAGGAATTTATAGTTATATGTAACTGACATTGAACTACTAACAACAGCTGGGTCAAACAATGTAACATCATTAAGCCAGTACAACTCATTAGTAATAGATGGAGGTGTTCTAGCCACTGTTGTAAAAAATATAAACAAACGTTTGAATCAGCAAAACATTGTCTTTCTATATGAGATAACATACTTTCTTAACATCAATTTGTATGTTAAAGTCGGACATCTATATTTGTATTGTTAGTCCCAGGTCAACCAACATGATTGTTTTTGTAATTCTTTTATCCAGGTTCTGTAGCTTACTATACGGGTCACCGAGCAACAGATATAGTACGTCGTAGTGCCGACATGACATTTCAGGAGACAATGTATCTCTTGAAAAAGTCCCAATACATTGTGTATGTAGCCAATTAAAAATTAATGCTTTGTCTAATCTTGTTAATTAGATGTAACGTATTCTGTGTTTTGACGCATCTACTCCTTTCAGACATATTCATTTATATATATATATAGTAGATAATAAATAAATAAGTCCTTGCGAAGGAAAACATAGTTATTTATATAACTATATAATTATATATATAATGCATATTTATTAAAACATAGTTATAATTCACTTAACATTGATATTTAAATCAGGCCGCAGGTTTTCCATGATTTCCATCTCTTTAAAAACTCTTTGAACAGGGTTTGTATTTTAGAAAACAAGAATTCCACAGGAGTGGAAGTGTCGCCAGCGCAGGCAACTCTAATGAGATTATGAAGACGGGATATATTTATATTAACGTGACTCCGATCAACCCAAGGGATGTCGAGTTATCGCACGAAAACGCAATCCAAAGCCAGCACTATTAGTTAGGAAGCACTGTATGAAGTATCAGCTTGATCAACCTAAAGAAACTCAAGTTATCGCACGGAAACAGATTTTATAGTATAGTAACTGTGACCTGTTACCTTCGGACATTAAAAGCAATCCAACGCAAGCATTGTTGGTTAGGAAGCACTGTATGAATCAACCCAATCCAACAAGTTATCGCACGGAAACCTTGTTTCGGTCGACGCAACCGACGACGACGACGCCGCCTAGTGTTGTAGGCGACTCGAAAATACATATAATGGAAAGATTTTGAAGGAGCATTCATTCCATCAGTAATGTGTCGGCTTATTGGTAAATGTCTATAACGTTCTAGAGGTCCCTTCTCATAAACGTTACAGATAGTATACCTATGTTAGTTATACCTTGATGCCTTTATAATTATGCATTACGTCCTTAAAATTATTATGATGTCATCAATAGATGGACAATCTGTTATGTCACACAATACTTTACTAGTATTATGTACCTATCGGTCTATTACAGTGAAAACGTTAGTAAAAAGCTTTCTTTTGTCGGGTCGGGTATAAAAAGGGTGGCTGCAGTGTCTGTGCTGTTACATTTGAGTGAGGTGAAAATGAATGGCATTGGAAGCAGGGAAAACACGCAAAACGGAACTCATTACATTTACATGATAACAACCTCATCAACAACTTACACGCCAGCATACATACATGAGGAAATATTAACAAGAGGCACAATCGGCCTGCATCGCTCAGCTGGTATTAATCTCACACTTGTAACCTTAAAAGTGATCTAAAATAAAGCTACAGGCAAAATATCAGTATTTATGATTAATAGTCATTCATCAGAACATGTTAAAAGATTTAAAAACATTTCACCCCTGTGACCTTGAAAGTCAAACAAGGACATTAAGTTAAACAATTTTATAGCCCTTCATCTCAAGATGCAACTTGCAAAATATCACCACCTTATCCCTTTGTTTATTGAAATTAGGTCATTTTAATTTTTTTAAATATTTGACCAAAGGTGACCTTGAAAGTAGGTCAAGGTCATTCAAATGAAACAGCTTTTTCATCCAAGCATGTTACTGGCTAAATATAAACATGTGCCCCACGGTTATTAAAAAAAAGTCGTTTAAAGATTTTAAACAAATTTGACCCCTGTGACCTTGAATATGAGTCAAAGTCATTCACTTTAACAAACTTGGTAGGTCCCAGCATGCTACTGACAAGATATCAACATTCAATACATTATGGTTATTCAGGAGAAGTCGTTTAAAGATTTTAAAATATTTGACCCCTGTGACATTCAAGGTCATTCATTCAAACAAACTTGGTAGCCCTTCATCCTAGCATGCTACTGGCCAAAATATAAACATCTTTGGCATTTTGGTTATTGAAAAACGTTGTTTAAAGATTTTGAACATATCTGACCCTGTGACCTTGAATAAATGTCAAAGTTATTCATTTGAACAAATTTGATAGCCCTTTATCCTAGCATGCTTCTTGTCAGATATCATCATCCTGCCCCTTTTGGTTAATCAGAAGAAGTCGTTTAAAGATTTTGAACATATTTGATCCCTGTGACCTTGAATAAATATTGACAAACTTGGTAGCCCTTTATTATGGGCCAAATATCATCATCCAGCGCCTTTTGCTTATTTAGAAGTCGTTCAAAAATTTCAAGCATATTTGACCCCTGTGACCTTAAATATAGGTCAAGGTCATTCCTTTAAACAACTTTCATCCAAGTGTGCTACTGACAAACTATCACTATACTGGTCCTTTTGGTTATTCAGAAGTTGTTGAAATGTTTTTTGAGACAATTGACCCTGGTGACCTTGAATATTGGTGAAGGTCATTCATTTGAACAAACTTGGTAGGTATTCATTCCAGCATGCTTCTGGCTAGTTATCATTACCCTGGACATTTTGGTTATTCAGAAGAAGTTTTTAAAAGTTATGAATACACTTGACCCATGTGACCTTGAATATTGGCAAAGTTCATTTATTTGAACAAAATTTGAAGCCCTTTATCCCAGCATGCTACTGACCAAACATCACTTTATTGGTCCTTTTGGTTAGTTGTTTAAAGGTTTTCAATACAATTGACCCCTGTGACCTTGAATATAAGTGAAGGTCATTCGGACGAATATTTTATGGGCGGATTGGTAAGGTGGTTAACATTCGGCCTTCGGGCCTTCGGGCCAGGTTAGCTAAAAATGTAGTATTGGTCGTACACTTTGGTACACTAAGCTTCTCAGGTCCTAATACAGATGTAATTAGGGTATCAGTATAAATGTCCCAATAAACGTGCATCTTACCTGTAGAGGCTGGTACACCTTTAAACGGTATAATGGTCAGTACTTGATACACGTGCTACTTACCTTTAGAAGCTTGTACACCTTGGTACGGTGTACTGGTCAGGAGCTGATACACGTGTAACTTACCCGTAAAGGCTGGTACGCCTTGGTACGGTATACCGGTTATATCCTAATACACGTGTAACTTACCTGTAGAGGTTGGTACGCCTTGGGACGATGTACTGGCCAGGCCGTTATACACAGATTCCACCGTAAAGGTATAATTGTATCCAGGTGTGAGTCTATCTACTATATATAACGTGTCGTTGGTTGGTGTACGTCGTGTCTCCATCTTGCCGTTCTCGTCAGTAAACGTAACATTATAGCAATCGACTCTTCCTGTTGAGGGTGACGTAATGTTTAGTGTTACGTTTGTAGTCGTTTTGGCAATAACGGCGACTGTTCCAGGAGGGTTGGGAACTGAAATAAAATCGTTATGATTTGGTCTAAAATATATCGATTAGGAGAACATATTTGGTACTCCTATAGTGCTGTGAAATACTGATGACTTTTCAATTGTACTTGTGCATTCCCGTTAATCCAAGAGTGTGTAAGTCATCTCAAAGTCAATAACAAATTCATGAAAGACTGTAAGTATGATCACATCCCAAGTCACAGATTTCTTTAAGGCAATGAATCGCAAATATGTTTCCGTCCGAATAAAAATATAAGCATGCAAACTTCCGAAAAAAATAGTTTGTTTTTATTTTTTCCGTCCATAAATCTGTCTGTCTATACTTCTCTTCATATTTTATTTTTACATATTACGGACAACAACGGAGATGTGATTTGTTTGCATAAACGTTATGATCAAGTGCGCATATGCATGACATCTGTCCGTATTAAATAGGATTACTGCTACGTCAAAATGACCAACATACATACTCCATAAATACTGACGAAATAAAGTGAAATAAACAGAATAAAGGTCCCAAATGACTTTCCCTCCTGACAAAAGTGTCAAAGTATCTTCATATTCGAAAATGTTTCGTGACATCCTCTCAACAAAATGTACAAATATTATAACGTATCGGTGGTAGCCACCAGGAGGCCGAAATCGGCACCCGCCCTTTGCCAGTTTATGAATAGATGCCAATAACATCAGTAATATCCTACACGAAAGTCCCTTGAAAGGCAAATTTTGTCCATCTGGTCTTTAGACAAAATATAAAACAATACAAGTCAAACAAGGGGTCGATCAATGTCGCACTCTGTGTACTTGGATATTTCTCGTTATGATCGATGGTCAATCTCGGGAACTCAACAAAATGACACAAGCGTCATCTCTTGTAGTAACACTACAACGGCTTCTTAACGTTCTGTTCAGTTTTTATATAGATAGAGGCTTGACTATAGATTTAATAGGAGTACAGCCATGTTAGTACACATTGGAGGGAGGGCATGCGATGGGTAATGCAGCGTATATCTGGGTCGAGACATTATTCCTTCATGGAACTTTAAAATGTATACCGGGATGATATTAAGTAAAAACCTGAGATGTGACGTTGCAATGTTTGTATCAGAACAGAAAAATATAAAGATATTATATTGCTGTTCTTCAATTGATATCCTTAAACATTAAACGAATACCATGGCTAGTGTTTCGATTTGCTAGTGTGTTATTTACAATGAGATTAGCTGTCTGCTAGCATTGTTTTTAATATAATCTCACATTCACATTTATTCAATACCAGCAGTGTCATATTCTCAGGATCTTAGATACTTACAAAGAATAGTATGGTCCTTTACATGTCCACATTGTGTTTTGAACAGGATATTCGTATAAGCAAACAACACTAAGTACATGTACCAACAAAGTTTTTCGTTTTGAATAGAGTCAAAGAATGGGTGCTTATTTGGGCGTTCTGGTGGCCATCACCAAAGTTTAAGTTTTTTTACATTGACCAACTTTTCAACTAGGTGCTACCTTTTTCGGCCATTTCATTATTTGCAGCTTTAGTGTTACGCAATACATCAAAGTTATGAAGAAACATTCAAATAATAACATGCACGAAGTAGTTTTGTTAAAAAGAGACCATTTGTGATTTTGTTCCCCACTTTACCCACATATCTAGAAATGGTTTCCAAGCTGACCTAATTTTATGTCATATTGTGATAGCATTAACCTAAGGTATGTATATAATACAAATAAGAAACTTATCGGTGACAGCCACCAGGAGGCCCAAAATAGCATCCGTCCTTTGCGTTTTATAACTCAGTTTTAAGAAAATTCCTGTGTGACTTAAAACGGGGACAGCTTTATTACATAATATATAACAGATAAAAATAAAACTGTTACTATTGATGTTACTTCTGAAATGACTGTTCTGTACTCTGGTTTGTCGTTGTAATAGATCTACCGAGCTTGTCTTACTTGCTACCTTTATACGACACGAAATAATCATTCTTCTAATATAGGTATCTTGTTTATAACAAATGATAACATTGTTTATTATTTGATATGACGTCACTATTATACATGTACATAGACAGTAAAAGAAGTCCTCAGAATGATAAATAGTCTTGTATTTGTTTATTGAATACTATTTAATATAAAGTTGGTAAATAATAAACGGTTTATAGATGAACGTAACGCGCACACAAGGTAATGTATCTTTGACAGTTGGTAGGAGATGCAGCAAGCCAAAAATTAATTACATGACATTATATCATAGAACACTTTATATACATATATATTCATCTGTTAGATTTAATTATTTAATTGTTTCAAAAGTAATTTAGACAATTTTGATGTGGAGAAGTTTTCTATCACATAAACGCTCCTTGAGGTCATATCAAAGCTTGCTTACGAACAAATTTAATAAGTACATTGATTGTGTATAAAGTAAAAATTGATATTACTTATTTCTAATCTGACGAATATTATTAATTTGTTTGAGGTCACATTTCAATGACTTCCTTTACATAATAGTTAAGTATACACCACAGGTGACTACATACGAGGCCGGGTTGTAATACCTGGTTTTGTTGTGGCTGATGAAGTGGTCGTACTGGTAGCAGGTGTTGTTGTAGATGACGATTTAGCAGAAGAAACTGGTCCTGCTGTGGATGGTGAATTCCTAGGAGTAGTAGAACCTGGTCCTGCTGTGGATGGCGAATTAGTAAGAGCAGTAGAACCTGGTCCTGCTGTGGATGGCGAATCAGAAAGAACAGTAGAACCTGGTCCTGCTGTGGATGGCGAATCAGTAAGAGCAGTAGAACCTGGTCCTGCTGTGGATGTCGCATTAGTAAGAGTAGTAGAACCTGGTCCTGCTGTGGATGCCGAATCAGTAAGAGTAGTAGAACCTGGTCCTGCTGTGGATGCCGAATCAGTAAGAGTAGTAGAACCTGGTCCTGCTGTGGATGCCGAATCAGTAAGAGTAGTAGAACCTGGTCCTGCTGTGGATGTCGAATTAGTAAGAGTAGTAGACCCTGGTCCTGCTGTGGATGGCGAATCAGTAAGAGCAGTAGAACCCGGTCCTGCTGTGGATGTCGAATTAGTAAGAGTAGTAGAACCTTGTCCTGCTGTGGATGGCGAATTAGTAAGAGTAGTAGAACCAGGTCCTGCTGTGGATGTCATACTGGAATCGGCACTGAACCAGACCTGTGAAAAAATCGATAGTATGTAGAAAATCAACGTAAGATATTTGTTAATATTATGAAGACGTCACACTGTTTATATCGTAATTATCCACTGCCATTTACGGTACTAATACATTAAAACAATGAAGTCAATAGTGAATAGATCTTGTGTTCTTGGTACAATGATCATATTTCAAGAGCATCATTTTCTTATCAGCATTTTGAGTTGAGAACAATCAAGTATTTTTCATTCTAAGTGTTCATAAATATATGTAGATATGCAACAAAAGAGAAAGGTGCCTATCAAATCCTTTATAATGCTGGAAATTTCAATGTTTGATCCAAACAGATCATTTATAATTACCAGGTGTTTCATGTAAACTGCACCAAAACAATTTAGCAAATTCTTAAACGCTGTATGTGAAACTTATGTCTCGATCTAATTGGTACTGTACACTTCGGACGAAAAGAGTAGGCAAAATTGTCAAGATAATCATCAGAATATGAAATAATGTAAGCCCCACTAGAACGAAAATCATTAACATTTTACAAAATAAATGATCAATTGTGTAAGCGATATCTCCACACTGTACAGCGATGCAGGTCTTTTTTTTCTCTGCAAGCAAATGTTAAATTTAATAACATAATTAACTTGAGTGTTCAAAACAAAACAGTTATCCTTGATGATATAGTCCATCATTTAATTAGACTGTTAAACAGAAGTACATTTATTTACAGTATGTTTAATTGAAAATCAGTAAGATTTAAACAACACTTTAATAGACAATAAGTTACCTAAAAAACGAAAAAAATAAAATAAAAAACCCATCTTACTGCACCATATGACATCACACTCGTACACCTTAAAACCTGTTACCATGGTGTCAAGGCGTACTTATAAAACAGAAAACAGTACTACAGCGTAAGTTCACTCGATATATAAAAAGTTAAACTACAGCATCTACACAAAACTAAACAATACCACGGCGTCAACACACAAAAACACATTAAAATAAAACAAATAAAATAAAACGAAATAAAATCAAATAAAATACATATCTTATTGACAGTACTGTCACCCTTGTTTTATCTATTATGAGAAGTACTACATTATCAGAAATATTTTTTCCATTTATATATATTTTTTTTTAAAGGATTCAATTAAAGCAAATTTGCAAGCTTAAATTTAAAGCTGATATTTGTTCTAAAACTCCTATTTAAATAAAAATCAATTTTCAACATAAAAACTAATATTTTTAAAACATTCAAAAATAAACTTAACAGCCTATTTACAGAAGTCCACATTGAATAACATAGGGGGGGGG